CAATTTACCTTTTTCTGAGATGCAGCAAGAGACTTTTGATTTGAATGAGGGTGGATTTGTTGGAGCCCTGGCAGGTTAGCATGGATGGCCAATGGTTACTCCTTCTGAAATGGCTGCTTGTGCCCCTCCACTACAGAGCTACATCCCTGTGATGGACGCTGGGTCAGACGTCACCTTCAGGTGGAGACTGGATGACAAGAGCTCCTTTACTTTCTACAATGACGTCTTCCACGTCCTTTACCAGTCCCCGGCTGTGTACAAGCTATCGGTAAGTCTGGGCCTCCTAATGACCCTTCTTTTGGGAACCGTTGGCCAAAAAACTACGGATTCCCATTTAAGGTGGCCTCTTGACTGTGTGTCAGTAAATTGTGCATTTGTCCTTTTGTCCTTCCAAGTGGCAAGACAGGATTTTTACAAAGCTTGATTTGCAGTTTGGGATGTATTGTTGTCCTCAAGGGATCCCTCTCCATGATAGGATTTTTCCCTTGGGGTTCCCAATAACTGTTTCATTTTTTTTATCCTGCCAAGGGTAATGGAATAGGAATAGAAATAGGAATAAAAATAGAAAACTTTATTTCACCAAGTGTGATGACACATACAAGGAATTTGTCTCCAGTGCTGAAGCTCTCAGTGTACATGCAAAGCAACAGAGTAATCTTCATCATCATAATAACACAAATAAGAGGGAGTAGTAAAGAAGATAAGAAGGATAGCAATAGCATTTAGACTTATATACCGCTTCATGGTGCTTTACAGCCCTCTCTAAGCAGTTTACAGAGTCAACATATTGCCCCCAACAATCTGGGTCCTCATTTTACCGACCTCGGAAGGATAATAATACTACAGCTATACAACATGGATAAATATACTGAGAGTTAGGTGTTCAACAGAATGATGGCATTGGGGTGGGGGAAGCTATCTTTGTGTCTAGTTATTTTGGCACGCAATGCCCTGTATGTTGTTCTGAAGGGGAGAATTGAAACAGTTTATGTCCAAGGTGTGAGGGGTCTGTAGATATTTTCTCAGCCCGCTTTCTGACCTGCGCAGTATACAGGTCTTGTATGGAAGGCAGGCTGGTTACAATTGTCTTCTCTGCAGTCCTAATTATCCCTGGAGTCTGTACCTGTCCCTTTACAGTTAAAGAAGTACAAACGACACTCAAAAATTCCTTCGGAAAACTGTATCAGCAGTTCCTGGGGCAGTCTGACCTTGCTGAGTTGATGCAGGAAGAAACTTCTTCATTGCGCCTTTTAAAATGGCGGTTCTAATCCTGGCCCACAGAAGCACGTTTAATTAATGCACCTAATAGACAATGGAAAAGTGTGCAGTTTTGATTTAGCTGAGACAGACTGTTTTGCCTTGTTAAACCTCAAATCCAAAATGAGCAACTGATACGGGCTAAATGTCTTGGTTACCTCAGATTAATTCTACCACTTTACACCTCAACAGTCTTGAGTTTATGTACCCTTCCTTGTTTTGTTCATCAAGATTTTCTCCATGATATTTCAGAGACCCACGGGAAGTTGATTGTTACTTTGGCCCATGATGGCTTGACACTGGTCTTCAGGCTTACGAATTCTGATTCTAGGAAGGACACCCCCAATAGTTCCCATAGCTAAAATGAGGGAGAATAGTTGTCCCAGATGATCCAAGGTTCTTCACAGCAGAATGGAAATCTTCATAGGATTTCCCCTGATTTAGAATTCTGACCAAGATGCCACTTTGGGGCGTGAGAAGGGATTGAAAGGAGAGCCACTTTATAAGTGGAAATAAAAAGAGAAGTAAAAGGCCGAGCGTGATCTATAAATCCCCCTCATGACCTGGAGGGAAAAAGAACAATGAAAATTGTGAAACAGCAAATGCCCCCAGTTTTGTATTACGGGGGGATGAAGGAGCAAAGCGGTTTGTCTGTTTTCTCTCCAGCTCACAGCCTCAAACAACGTCAGCAACATCACCGTGTGCTACAACATCACTGTGGAGGAGATGAACAGGATGAAAGACCTGAAGGTCTCGGAGATCTTGACCCCTGTCCCTCAGAACAGCAGCGTGGAACTCTCGGCCACCGTGACTGTGGATTCGGCTGTCGACGCCAAATTCCTGTGAGTTTTTTCCACTGATTCTCCAGCAGACCAAGAGGGGGAGATCCAGCACTCAGGCCAATGAGTGGTCCAGAAAGACCAGTGGAAATGCCCTTGGA